GATGAAATCATGCGCGATAAATAAACAAAATTTGACGAATAAGTCATGCGGACCAATCAAACATAAGATTTTGCGGATGTACACCATTAAAAATGCCATAGTAACCATACACTTCGTGATTGCATCACTCTGTTCCTGGTATACACTTCGTGATTGCATCACTCTGTTCCTGGTAAATATACTTTCCATTCGTTATCTTTTCTAAAAATTTGTTGAATTCTAGGTTAGATATCGTTTTGAAAAACCATGAAGAGGCATTGGCTTGAGCAAGGGCTTCAATAGTTGCAATTTTGTTCTTTAAAATAAAGATGATCCTAATTAATCCAGTCCATATTTTGGTCTTATATCTTGTCGCCTTAATTTCAAGCATATTCATAACTCTAGCCCTTATCCATTGTCTAATTGATTTGAAATTTGCATTTTTGCCTAAAGGAACTGCTTTAGAAATTTTAACTTCTAAACTTGCGCTTTTATAGTCATCCGGGGTGCTCCTTTTAATGAAATTTAATAATGCAATATATTCTTTTGCGAGATTAAAAAATTATATATTGCAGCTAACTTGACTTCTAAATAAAAATATTTAATTTTATCTTCTCTGTCTTTGTATAAAGCAAATTCTTGTTTGATTGATTTTAAGTCATTACCAAAAGAAATTAAATTTTCTTTGAAATCAGTAATATTTGTAGATTGAAGTTCTTGGTTTATTGGTTCGCTATTAAGTAATGCATTTGCAATTGATTCCCAATTGGCTTCCATCCTGTAAATTGAAATTGAAATTGAATTATGTAATTAATATAAAATGAATAAAATTAAAAATAAAATAATAAAATCACCTTTAATTTTATTATTGTTAACATCAAGATTATTATTGAAATCATTGAAATCATCAATTTCTTTACGTTTGTTGCTGAGTTCCACTTCCCATTGCTCACCGAACGTGTTCGCAACCTTATCTACCCAGCAACTAATTGGAAATTTTTTAGCGTATTTCCAATACTGAAGTATATGAATCAATTTCAAATATTTAAATTTTTCATCTTTATCAATTTGAGTATTTAGATATTCGTCATATCCAAACTTTGCTTCAAGTTTTGAATTAATTTTTCTCCACAATTCTTCTTCATCATTAGTGTCTACTTCGATACCAATTTCCCCTAACAATGTATTTAGTTCACTTGAAGAGGTAGTTTGTTTGGATGAGTTTGTTGAATTAAAATTTTCATCTAGGATCATCGAGTTGTTCCATGATTCATTATTGTCAACTACTAGTACAGAATTATCATTATTAACTAATTTTAAGCTTGAAAAGCTTTGTACAGAATGTTCAACAAAAACTTCCTAGAATCGTTTAAGAATGTAAGAAAATAATTGCTTTCTATACATTTTTAAAATATCTCAAACTAGTTACCGTTATTTCATTATGTTTAACCTTTTCAATTTCATCTCTTAACATTTTAATAGTTCCATCCTGTTCCTTTTTTAAAAATAATTATTATTATTATTATTTTTTTGGTATTAAGGTGACCTCTTTGGTTTGGGAAACTTTTTATTAGAGTATAGACGAAGTTTTATATTTAATTACAATGATGGTACATCAAGCCACATGTGCACCTTTTGAGTGCCTATTTAAGTAGTTCGCCCGAAGGTTCTACACTATCTGCCGTACCTGCACC